TACAGAGATTATCAGGGAAAGCAATCATGAACTATGACACCTTGTTTACTCTGTTCCTGAGAACACTGTTATCGGGATGCATATAAATGTGTTGATAATAAATAATGTATGAGATTAAGCAACTGAGAAATAAAATGTATAATACAAGTATAATAAAAATTATATAATAATTATAATGCACTGTTCCAGGGTATACCACTTTCTCATCTTGTACCGAAAAGCAGCATGCAATAAAATGCTATTTTATGTCCTTATGCCTTTTCAGAACAAAACGGCTAATTTCACAGGATTATCAAAAGGGTCATAAAAGCAAAGAATATGGCAGCTCAAAAGGAGAATAGATGCAATATAAAACTGAGTATAATCACACCAGGAAAAGTATGTTTCCATCCATCTGGGCAACTGAACCAATCAGCATCCTGCTTTCTTCCTTCTCAATCTTAGTATAGGCAGATATGAAGATATGAACAAGATAGGTTCTGTAGCTTTGCTTTTAAGCTACATTTGTATGCTTTGGTGTCTGTGTCCCTGTTCAGAAGATTTCAACTCACTTTTTGTCCCTGTGATAACTGGATTTTGTAAAACTTGGCTTGTTGTGAAAACAAAGATTGACGAGAAAGCTTCCTGTTTTCTCACCCTGTTCTTAACCATGAGCCTTTTGAAAGCTGGATGTTTGTAACTCAGGGATCATTATTTATATCTGATGCTTTTGGATTGTAAACCTGAAGACAAGAAATGTTTTCACTGAATAACCTGATAAGAACATTTCAATAAATAGCTGATTTAAGTCTCCTTATGGAGAGAAAAAGCAGGGTATAAATAAACATAATAAATAAATAAATAAATAAATAAATACCTTGATAAAGATTATGGCCAGAAGTAATTTAGGGCTGTTCAAGAATTCTGTTACACTCAGTGAGACTTCTACCTTTTTAAATACCACACCTCCATGCAGGCATGTAGCCGGGCGGGGGGGGGGGGGGGGGGGGGGGGGGGGGGCTTGAGGGGCTTCAGCCCCCCCTGAAATTCTCAGGGTGGTCCGCAAGAAGCCCTTACTGGTACATTATTTAAACTGTTATGTTTATTCATATCATGATCTGATCACCATGCTCAAAAATTCCCATATGCATGGTGGTATTGGGATAATGATACAAAAGGTTTCTAGGGTAGATCCTCTCTCACTCAGACTCAGCCCCCCCCCCCATCAAAATCCTGGCTACGGGCCTGCCTCCATGCCACACCATAAACCTACAACACCAAAAGTCCTGTCAGTTTCAAATGGGATTAGCCAAGTGGCATGTAGATTTACAGTTCTGAAGGAAGGAAGGAAGGAAGGAAGGAAGGAAGGAAGGAAGGAAGGAAGGAAGGAAGGAAGGAAGGAAGGAGCTAGCATACCATCAACTACTTGGTTCTTCACAATTTAGTAATTCTTAATCCACTTTATAAATGTACACTTATTGATTATAAATGTAGAATGACTGTAGAATAACTGAACAGAAGTATGAATAAACTTCAAGATCCCTCTCCACCCTAGTTTCTCGAAAAAACAAAATTGGTAACATAAGCTTTTGTAGATAAAGTGTGCATCTGCACTGTAGAAATAATCCAAGTTGACTAAACTTTAGCTGTCATGGTTCAAACCTATGGACTCCTTGGCTTTGTCATTTGGTAGATACCACTACTCTATGGCATGGAAGGCTACACACATTCTAAAACAACAACTCCCATGATTCTTTACTGCTGAGCCATGGAAGCTGAACTGCTGTTAACCTCATTAATTCTGCATTGTGGATACCTCCTAAGTCTACTTCCTAGATCTGAGCAGACTGATTGACTTGATCACACTACACTGTCATTATATTATTATTCCACTTGGAACTCCCACAACAACTTTCTGTAGATTTCTGGGGTTTGTAAATTAATGACACCCAAAGTCTTTTTGGCTGAGAGTTATAAACACCCCTCTCTAAACTGCAAAGAGAGACAGTGTGGTGTAGCAGTTTTTCTTTCTTTCGTGTCAGGAGTGACTTGAGAAACTGCAAGTCGCTTCTTGTGTGAGAGAATTGTCTGTCTGCATGGATGTTGCCCAGGGGATGCCCTGATGTTTTAATGTTTTATCATCCTTGTGGGAGGCAGCTCCCGCATGGGGAGCTGAAGCTGGAAAAAGGAGCTCATCTGCGCTATACCCGGATTCGCGGCACAAGGGTTTAACCCACTGCACCACGGGGGTCCGGTGTAGCAGTTAAAGCATTGGCCTAGGCTCTGGGCCAGAATTTTCTGCTTGGCCACAGAAACTCACTGTGTGACCTTGGGCAATTCACATAAATCTCCGCCTCAGAGGACGCCAGGGCAAAACTCTCCTGAACAAATTTTACCAAGAAAGGCATGATAGCGGCATTTTAAATTGGAAATATTTGTTATATAAAGTTCTACAAGATCACTCTAATACTCAGACTAACACAGAGGGTTTTTTTTAAAAAAAAATCTAGCGATTGGAAAAACAAAAAAAGTAGAGAATGTAACCTACACTCAAGAATCAATGCAATCTGACATCACATTAATTGCCATGGCTCATTGCTATGGAATTCTAGGGTTTGTAGTTTGCTGAGATACCAGCACTATTTGGCAGTGAAGACATTTTAAAACGACAACTCCCATAATTCCATACCATTGAGCCATAGCAGATACAGTGATGTTAAACTGCATTAAGAAACTGAAGCATGGGCTCTTGTGAAAGTGAAACTGTCCTTAATAAAAAGGGGAACAGGCCTAAACTGAAGCTTTGGGTGAGAGAAAACAGAGTACAGGCAGTCTCTAAGGGCCTGAGATCAGATCCTGGGATATAGGGCCTGTCCGGAAGGGCCCTGAGTTACAAACAACACATAGTTTAAGAACAGGCATGAGAAAACAGGAAGTGAGAGAACTCTACCCCTAGGAAGGGAAATTCACTCCTGGAAGAGTTATCATGGGGAAAGCTGCATCACCAATCCTTGTTTCCACAAGCCATTAAAACAAATTGTATTGTAAAAATGCAATACAACTCTTTGGCTTGCTCCTGACACGATAAATAAATAAAATTATAACAAATCCAATTATCAGAGGGCCCTTCCACACAGTCATATAACCCAGAATATCAAGGCAGAAAATCACATATCTGCTCTGAACTGGGTTATCTGAGTCCATGCTGTCACATATTCCAGTTCAAAGCAGATAATAGTGGGATTTTATTCAGCTGTGTGGAAGGGGCCTTAGATGCAGTCCCTACACTGACCATACAACACACTTCCAAATTGCATTATCTGGGAATATGGATCCAATTTTATATTGGTTATTCTTAAAGATGATGTGGAAGACTGTTGCTTCAAATATTTTTATTTTCTCGGAGATAATTTTAATGTGACTTTGTAAAGCTGCAACTGTATATACACTTATCTGGAAGTGGAACATTTCTGAGAAGATGTATTGTCGAAGCCTTTCATGGCCGGAATCATTGGTTGTTGTAGTTTTTTTCGGGCTATATGGCCATGTTCTAGAGCAGGGATCCTCAAACTTTATAAACAGAGGGCAGGCAGCAGTCCATCAAACTGTTGGAGGACCGGATTATAATTTGAAAAAAAGTGAATGAATTCCTATGCACACTGCACATATATTATTTGTGCAAATAGCACTTAAAAACAATGCAATAATTAAAGTGAAGAACAACTTTAACAAATATAAACTTATTAGTATTTCAATGGGAAGTGTGGGCCTACTTTTGGCTGATGAGTAAGATTGTTGTTGTTGTTGTGTGCTTTCAAGTCATTTCATACTTAGGTTGACCCTGAGTGAGGGACGGGTAAATGACCTTGGAGGGCCATATTCGGCCCTTGGGCCATAGTTTGAGGACCCCTGTTCTAGAGGCATTCTAGAACATGGCCATATAGCCCGAAAAAATCTACAACAACCCAGTTTCTGAGAAGAGATTTAGGGCCCTTCCACACAGCCCTTTAACCCAGAATATCCAGGCAAAAATCCCACAATATCTGAACTGGGTTATCTGAGTGCACACTGCCATATATTCCACTTCAAAGCAGATAATTGTGGGATTTTATTCAGCTGTGTGGAAGGGGCCAGAAAGACTGAAGTGAGGTGAAAACTTCTGGACTGTGGCACATACAGCAAAACAAACACCACAGGGGCATTAACTATTCCCTATGCCAGGTGTCCTCAAACTTTTTGAACAGAGGGCAAGATTACAATCCCCCAAACTGTTGGGGGGCGGATTATAATTTGAAACAAAACATGAATGAATTCCTATGCACACTGTACATATCTTATTTGTAGTGTAAAAACACTTAAAAACAATACAATAATTAAAATGCAGAACAATGTTTAAAACTTAGTAGTATTTCAATGGGAAGTGTGGGCCTGCTTTTGGCTGATGAGATAGGATTGTTGTTGTTGTCATGTGCTATCAAGTCGTTTCAGACTTAGGTTGACCTTGAGTGAGGGCCAGGTAAATGACCTTGAAGGGCCACATCTGGCCCTCGAGCCTTAGTTTGAGGACCCCTGCCCTACGCTATCCAAACCGCACATAGATATATATGTATGGCTGGAGTTACACTTTAAAAATGTATCTGTTCTGACTTACACATGTAGTCAACTTAAGAACAAATCTACAAAACCTGTATCTTGTTTGTAAGTCTGCCTATAGTTTGAGGCCCCATCCCACTGCCATGTAATGCAGTTTAAAACTCAGTATAGATCAGGCATGGGCAAACCTGGGCCCTCCAGGTGTTTTGGACTTCAGCTCCCACAATTCCTAACAGTCCCTTTCCTTTTCCCTCTCAGCCACTTAAGGGCCTGTTAGGAATGATGGGAGTTGAAGTCCAAAACACCTGGAGGGCCCAAGTTTGCCCAGGCCTGGTTTAAACTGCATTATAAGAGTCTATATAGTGACTACATAAGGCAGCTTCATATAATATAGACAGGGCCTGATTCAGGGGAAAGGAAAGAAGTACCCAAAACGGGGGAGCAGAAAGATGTAGTCCACACGCGTGGTGGTGACGTTTCCTAAGGGGCGGAGAAGCCCCTCACTGCCCTAAACACCAGGCAGGCAAGGCCCAGGAAGCGCCTCGCTCAGTTTGGCTCCCAGGGAAGCGGGAGAGGAATCGCCGGCCTCCACAGTCTACACAGGCCTCGCCGCCGCTCCCTCCCCTCCGTGTGCTCTCCACTTCCTGGACAGCCGGGAATCGAGGCGAGGGAGGAGTAAAAGAAGCAGAAGAGGGGGGGAGGCAGGAAGGAAGGGAGGCAGGAAGGGAGGGAAGGAGGCCGTGGTGCGGGGCTGCGTGGGGTTTACCTGCTCCAGTGGCGGCACTGGCGAGGCGGGCTGGGCTGGGCTGGGCCGGGCCACGGAGGAAGCAGCTGCTGGGGGGCAAAAAAGGGGAAGGGAAACGGGTTCTTCCCCTCTCCCTCCCTCCCGCCCGCCCTGCCTGCTTCCTTTTGCGCGGCCCCTCGGTGCCCGCCTTCCCGCAGCCGACGACGCGGGTTGCGGAGTTCAACCGCCGCCCCTTCCTTCGCCTCTCGCACGCAGGCGCCCGGCTGGCAGGGAAGCCGCACAGGCCGCCCACAAGAGAAGGGACGAAGGAAGGAAGGATGGGAAGGGAGGAAGGAAAAGGAAGGGAGGCGGATAAAGGTAGGAGAAGAGGGGGAAGGAAAAGGAAGAAAGGAAGGGGAAGAAAGGTAGGAAGAAAGGAAGGAAAAGGGAGGGGATAAAGGTAGGAGAAGGGAGAGAAGGAATGGGAAGAAAGGAAGGAGAAGGAAGCAAATGGGATGGAAGGAAGGGAAAGAGGGAAGGGGAGAGAAAGGGGAGTAGGAAAGGGAAGGAAGGAAAGTTAAGAGAGGTAGGAGAATGGAGGGAAGAAAGGAAGGAAAGAGAGGGAGGGGAATAAAGGTAGAAGGGGGAAGGAAGGTAGAAGGGAAAGGAAAAGGGAAGAAAGGAAGGAAAAGGAGGGAGGGGGATAAAGGTAGGAGAAGGGAGGAAAGGGATAGAATGAAGGGAAAGAGGGAAGGCAGAGAGAAGGGAAAGGGGGCAAGGGAAAGGAAAGAATGGTAGAAGAAAAGGGAAGGAAGGAAAGTGAAGAGAGGCAGGAGAAGGGATGGAAGGAGGGGAAGGGAAGAAAGGAAGGAAAAGAGGGAAGGGGAAGGAAAAGGAAGGAAGCCTCTCCTTGGAGACAATTCCTGAAGAGACCCCGAAGGCATGGAATAGATACCACGTGTCCCAACTATTTATTTATTTACTGTATTTCAATCCCACCTTTCTCAGCCCTGAGACGGCTCAAGGCGGTTTACAAAATTGGCAAAAGCAATGCACAACTGAGTAACTAGCAAGGCTGAGAAAAGAAAGAAAGGCCATTCCCCTCCTTGGAGGCAAAGACCATATTCTTGAAGGGACTCTAATAAGGCATGGAATAGATGCCATGTGTCCCAACACAAGGAATACACAAACAGTCCTCAAGTTACAAACATCCAGCTGACAAAGAAGGCCAAGTCAACAGGAAGTGAGAGAAATCATCCCTTTAGAAGGGAAATTCACTCCTGGAAGACTTGTTATTGGGGAAAAGTGTCTCCATTTCTCAACAATCCTTGTTTCCACAACAAGCCACATTTTTGAAAATTTGGTACAGAAAGTGAGGTGACATCTTCCAAACAGTAGCACAGACAATAAAACAATCACCACAGGGATGTTCACCCTTCCCTATGCTCTCCAAAGCTGAAACATACATATTTGGCTGGAGTTACATTTTAAAATGTACTGTTCAGATTAAACAATGCAATTTAAAAAACAATGTACCTTTGAAGAGGAAGGGATATGGACCATGCTCTTGGGGGGGGGGGGATGGGGGACTATGAAGTAGGGGTTTAAGCGTGACATATATACAGTATGGCTAAAAAGATGTATACATTAAGCTTGAAATATACAACATGTCACACATCATTAACAACTTACAATTCTGGATTTCTTTAAAGGTAAACGTCCCCAACCCCACTAGGAGAAAGAGGGGATATGGACTATGTTTCTGAGGGGGGCAACTCTAAAGGAGGTGTTTAAGCACAGAATATATACAATGTGTCTTAACAAAATGTATGCACACAGCATTAACTTATGGATTTTTTTTTAAAAAAGTAAAAGTTTCACCCAGGACCTCGTTCATGAGGGGGTGACTATGAAGGAGGGGTTTATGCCTGGAATATACAGTGTGTCCCTTCAAAGTGTATTGTTGTTATTATTTCCTAACAATTTATAATTCTGAAATATTTTTATTTATTGAAAAAGAAAAAGAAAATGTTCCCCTGGAGAGTAGGAGGGAATATGGACCACTGAGGAGGCTAACTCTGAAGAAACAATAATAATAATAATAATAATAATAATAATAATAATAATAATAATAATAATTTGTTATTCGCCTCTCCTCGGGGCTCAAGACAGAGTACAACTCAGATAAAACACTATTAAAAGGCATACTATCAAGTACAAGGATTTAAAACAGAATACTAATAGAATGTACATTTAAAATTCATAGTTTAACATTCACTGGGCAGGAAGGGTTTGTGTATGGATTGTACAGTGTGTCCCACTAAAATGTATACACATATCACTGACAACTTATAATTTGAATTATTATTATTAACTAGCCATCCCCTGCCACGCCTTGCTGTGGCCCAGTCTGTATATATGTTTTGTGTGTGTGTATAGGTGTGTATAGGTGTGTTTGCATATATATGTGTGGTTTTGCCCATGCGTTGTAATGTAATTTTTGTTTTTTGTTTTTTAAAGTTCCTTGTATTTTTCCGTGTATTTATGAGTGAAGGTCCCTCGTTGACCTGATAGGTGTATTGTGTCCAAATTTGGTGTCAATTGGTCTAGTGGTTTTTGAGTTATGTTAATCCCACAAACAAACAAACATTACATTTTTATTTATATAGATAATAAATGGGTTCAACCCTTGTGCTGCTGAACTGCTGACCTTGATCCGCTCCAGCTCCTGCCAATTTAGCAGTTTTAAAACATGCAAATGTGAATAGATAAATAGGTACCACTTCAGCGGGAAAAGGCAAAAAGATGCTCCAAACAATCTTGGCAGCCACACAACCAGGAGGTGATAATGCAGCCTCCTTGGCTTGAAAATGGAGAAAGCACCTCCCCAGACCCAGAGATGAGTATTACCTACAGAAGCCGGAAATGAAAGGAGAAGCCTCTGCCTTTTGTATGTGTGTGTAACGGCATTGAATGTTTGTCTTAAGTATGTAAGTGCTGTAATCCACGTTGAGTCCCCTAGGGGAGAAAGGAGGAATATAAATAAAGTGTTGTTATTAATGTCTCCCCCAGAAAAGTGGTGGTATGATCCATGTTCATCAGGGTGCTAACTCTGAAGAGGGGAGAATTTAAATGTGAAATATACAGTGTGTCCCACTAAATTGGAACTTTTTAAATATATACACCCTGAACAGGTTCCTACAATAGAGAAGCACCTCCAAGTTGCAGGAGGAACTTGGAGGTGTGGTTTTGAGACTCCTTGCTTCAATGACACAAGCAGTGCATGGCTTCTTAAATACAGAAAAGTGTTATTTAAGATGGGTTTTGAAACTGGCTCAATCTCAATAAAATTTATTGCTCACAACATATAATTCTGGAATATTTTTGATTTTTTAAAATATTGATTGTTGAGAGGAAGACGACACAAACCGCCACAGGGGAGAACAGCGGTCTTTGACTTTGAGAAGAAGGGCAGCCTTTTTTTCAAATAAGATGTTGGCTATTGTGTTGCAGGGACTGATATTACCATTTGTTTTTTCCTCTTTATCCTTAAAGAAAGTTCCAGAAAATAAACTTGTACATGGATGCCCTTAGCATGGCTTGGGAAATGCAGGCTTGGTGCTTTTATGTTCACAATTACCCTTCTTTATCCTCAGTTTTGTATTCCCAAGGGAGAAAGTTTTTGAGAAGGCCAAGGAGCAGTACATAGTGTTGTGAATTATTTCTGACAGCTTTTTACTCATCCATTTAATGATATTTTAACTGAGTTTTAATGATTGTAACATTTCATTCTATTTTAATACTTATATTTTGTAAGTTTTTCAAACTATGTAGTTTTGGCCACTTTGGGACTCGGTCCTGAGAGAGAAAAACAGGATACCAATAAATATCATTTCCTCATCTTTATCATCCTTGTCCTACTCACCAATCTCACCAGGATGGCTTTATGCCAAGAAGTGCAGGAATCTTGCACCTTTCAGAACAAATTTTCAATCATCACCTACTGAAATACCTTTTTCTACATGATGAAAGGTTTATGGGCTCTGCTGTTTTGCAAATGGACCTCTTTGACACCTGGCACTTCTTTTCAAAAGTTTAAAAGAAAATATCCATGTCTTCCTGCTGTATCAACAAATTGTATTCAGGAAAATCAGAAGGTATACTTCTAATATTTTATGAAAGATGCCAAACTGCCTTCTAGGCTTCTGCAATTCGGCTGGACCTCAGTCTGTTTCTGCTACTCGAATTCTGGGGGGAACGGACGACGACAACATTGTTCTGTTTTTGTGTGCCTCCCAAAAAATGGCTGGCTGGCCAAATAGCTATTTTTGGTCCGAAGCCAAAAAATGCTGCTTTATCCGGTCCATTGGCAACAATGGAGGAGTTTAACGAAGTCCCATCCCATCATTTTCTGGACTATCGGAATGAAATGACCACACTTCGAGGATACATCTACAACATTAACCTTTTATGATTTTGATAATTATTAATTAAAATTAAGAAGGCTGAGAGTACAGAGAGAAATATAAACAGATAATTTGTTTGCAAAGGAATGAAAATGGATTGGTGGTAAGTTTAGGGAGGTACAGAGGTAGGTAGTAGTAGAGAATGAGTCTTTGCTGTTTGCTTGAATTATTATCTATAATAATTATCTTTAAAAGTGATTTCTGAAGGAGGGGAGGGAGGAGAAAAATATAAGGAGAGAAGAGAAGAAGCTAAAGGGTGACTCAAGGCTCAGAGCCACCCTAAAGAAAAGCACACCTACCCACCCAAGAGATGCTTTCTTTTCTCTCCCAAGTCCCCAAACACGTGCACCCACTTACCACCTGCACTTTCCCACTCCCAGTCCCAAGAAAATAAAGGAAAATGAAAAAGATTCAATTCTAGAAGT